GGAATCCTTTATCAAGTTGCGCCCCAAAGCGCGGAGAACTCCGCCTTTTTCTTTCGCCGCGATCGATGGCGGTGTACCCCCTCGATACGAGACAACTCTCGATACCCATTTCCCGAATTTCGAGTTTCCTTCGCTCTTTTGCTTTTCATTTTCACACCATTATTATTATTATTAATTTTGAATTATGAAATGGTGAAGAAATTCGTGAATTAGTGAATATTATTAGGGGTTAAAATGTGTCGATGTATGTATAAATAACTGTAACGCTTTTTTTACTTTCTCGATTCGTCTATCTTTCTTATCATTCAATATACGTATTTTTCAAATGTTCAAACTAGATAAAATGAATGAAGATTTTCAACGCGAAGCACGAGTTGTCGAATATCCCTGATTTCTGGAAAATCAGGCGGACACGTCAAGTTGTGACACGGGGTATAGGTGGGGCTGATCAGACAGGTGAACGAGCGAGGGTGGACCAGCACGATGAACGTCGGTCGGCTGCAGGAGACCGATAGGATACGGCGGGGATGGTGGTGTAGGATCTCTTGACGCGTGCATCGATGTCCACTGGCTCCCAAGGGAAATCCACTTCATGATGGGAATCCCATTATTTCCCGAGCGATATAAAAGTAGGTAGTCCACGTGCTGTCCAGTTCAGGCCATTCCACTAGCCCTCTCACCCCCGACTCCCCCTTTCCGCCTATAGCCACCACCGCCACCGTCTCCTTTCAACCGGCGAACACCCGGCCCACCTCTTCTTCCTCCCTTCGCGATTGTCTCTCGATCCATTCGCAATTCATTCTGGATTCGAAACTGCCCCCGACCAAGACGACATCGAGGGTAAATCGTTTTTACTTTGGATTAATACGTCGTCTTCGCTGGAAGAGAATGGAAATCAAATCGTTTTCCACCGTGTTTCCTGTTTGAAATTCTTGTATTCTTGTTTGAGATGTGAGATACATTATAGAAGTAATGATTCGTACAAACTTATAGATTAGAGATTTTCAAACTCATGAATTTATTTTCGAGAATTTATTTTTTATATATACAGTACTTTGCCGAATCTCTAATCGATAACTTTATATTTTTGTTTAATACAAGAAGGAAAATAGAAAAATATTTTTTTGCGTATACATGAAAGTCGATAGTTGATAATAAAAATAAGAAATAAAAATATTTTATTGTTAAAATCATATCAGAATTGCAAGAGTTTTTTTATCTTTATTTTTTCCTGCCGGCTTTTGATTGTCATTTTTATTAATACGATAAGTGAACAACGACGTGAACACACACATATTTGTTTCTTATATTGAAATTATAATTGCCAAAAATATTTCAAATTTGGATGGAAATCGATTTCAAATTTGTCAAGATTGTCAAATTTCGGTATATTTTTCCATTAGAATACATGCAATTCTATTGTAATTGTAGCATATAAACAAGGAGAGTGAATAGAAGAAGAAGGATAGAGATAGGATAAAAATTATGGAATCAGCGCCATCTCTAGAGTGCCGTAAATGAAACATAGAAATAAAGGATAACAAATAGTAAGAAAAGGATAGAAATAAAATAAGAATTGATTGTTAGCGCCATCTTTTGAGTATTAAAAATATCTCTTAGAAAAATAAGTTAGATAGATATTCAAGAGATGGCGCTGATATTTCTCTCTCTATCTTATCTTAAATTTGAAGAGATGTCTTTGATGCTCAACAGATAGCGTTAAGAGATATTTATTCTATTTCTATCCCTTTTTTATTTGCACTCTTTATCTATATTAGTTTCATATACTTTAGAGATGGCGCTGATTCCATAATTTTTATCCTATCTCTGTCTTTCTCCTATTATTTGCTCTCCTTGTCTATACTTTTGGCGCGTACAATCACAATGTATCAATTCATTATTTCTCTTTTAAAATGTTTAATCTTTAATGTAAAAAATTATAGATATTATATTTTAGGTTTTATAATATATTTCTAGAAGGACAATCTTAGAATAACAGCAATGATTTAAAGCCCAAATTTTCAGTAAACTGAATAATGATAATAGAGAGTATTGACATAATTACTTTTTGTTTCATAAATTAATTTCAAATAATTTAAAATTTTTATTTTCTGAATCAAATATATTATAAGCGTTGTAACTAATTTTGGCATAAATTCATATTTATTAAAAATAATCTTATCGTTTAATATATAAAATATATAATTCTTTTCTTAAGTGCATTTCTTTATCTCTTCTTCTAATTTCTAGATATTACAATTCTTACTTAGTTCTGATAATTATATTAATTTTCACGAATATTCAGAATGTATTAATATAGAAGAACTTTTTATGGATCTCAATTGATAATGCTATGGCCTAGTGTTATATTTTGTCTGTAATCTTAACAATGCTACGAACGAAGATGTCCGCTCTGGCGATTTTGGCGCCCTAACTTCAGGTAGTATATAGAGGGAATTGCTGCTTTGAGTTTGGACACTCGTTTAACCTGTTTGCAGTGTGACAGAAGATTTAAAAGAGCGATAAGTGTTTTACAAAGCTTTATTTCGCTTAAGACATACCAAAACATCGTGTGGAAAAACGAGCATACAAAGAGGTATATTATAACATTTATTTCTTTCACATTCGCTTAAACAAGTTGCTTTTGTTTATCTGAAATACATAACCTATGTTTTTATCTATACATTTATTTAGGAATTAATAGTTTTCAAAATTATTTCTTATTATTTAATATTATTTTTTTAACAGGTTTTATATTAATATTATATTTTGATATTTTTATTTAGTATAAGATCGTTATTAAATGACGATACATATTTGCGCGGACTTCTAACCTTTAAATTGAAATGTTATTTACCGATCACTTAATTCATATTTGCTTAACATTTTTTAATTTTTCGTGCTTCTTACATATGAAAATAACGTTTCTAAACTTAAATTTATATATTATATAATAAATTTTATTTAATATATAATAATATTTATATGTATATTTACAGTGATATGAAGAAGGTAAAACTGTGACAGTGGGAATTAAACATAAAAATAGCTCCGGTGACGACAGGAATATCTAACCTTATGCCCTCGGCTACCGGTATGTTTTAATTTACAATACATTGTAAATATATAAATATTTACTTTTTTTTACAAATGTATTGCTTTACATATAATATTTTTGTAACTTCATCTTAGATCAACAGGAATTACAGTAAAGTTTAAGTCAAATTAAGCCTTGAGAAGTGTTGGACTTGACACATATTTATTTAAGTTAAATAATAATTGATTGTATAATGAATGCCAAAGGTATATGCCAAAGTTATATGACATTTAAATAATGAATGTGGCACATACGTATTGCAGGAACTGTGAAGCAAAATAGATAAAGTACTTTGGATTTGTGTGGATGATATTACGTCAAACATCCTTCCAGAAGAACTACATAATTGAAGTCCTCTTTGAAAGTAGTAGAATAGATTAAAACATGCAATGAAGTTCCCAAGAAATATTCAGTCGCTGTTGCTGCAAGAAAAGGTGTGCGCTTTCAGAGAATTTCAGAAGAATGCACAAATCATAGAAGGTGCAGTTATACGAGCCATTATGTAGGCTCTGTAAGATAAATAATAAAATTATTAATTTATAAAAAAAGTACTTCAAAATATTGCAAATATAAATAGTATTTATTATAATTTCATATAATTTGATGATAAATAATCTTTATATAATAAGTTATAAATCAAATATAACATAAGGTATATGACCATTGATTATAATAAAATAATAAAATTTTGTTTCCATAATGAGATTTGACTGTATTAAAAAATTACAATTTTCATTTATGGTTGGTCTATACCTGTGTGTAATCAGTTTGCGTTATTCAAGAACTAATGCTTACTCAAGGCAATTGATAAGAGTGTTTATACAAATAGTACCAACCAAAAATGGTCTTTCCCACAATTTAAAATGGAATAATTAATTGCATTATAAAATATTATTATTTAACTATGTATTGCTATGAGAGAAAATTATTATATGGAAAAATTACATTAAAATTTATAATTTATCTTATGTAAAATAATATTTATATTTTTATATATTTTCAGGAGGAACTAACCCTATAGGGCAGCAGAAGGGTGGGGCGACTATGCCCAGTAATGAAGAATGTGGGATCCGAGATGTTTGGGGTCATAATCTCGAAGAAGAATTTCGAACAATTCGGCAAGTCGTACAACAGTATCAATATATTGCAATGGACACTGAATTTCCTGGAGTAGTTGCTAGGCCCATTGGTAAGATATAATAAAATGATAATATTATAATAATTATTCAATTTTAAAATAAAATATATTTTTTTTATTACAGGTGAATTCAGAACTAGTGCTGATTATCAGTATCAGTTATTACGATGTAATGTAGATCTCTTACGAATAATTCAACTCGGTCTTACATTTCTCGATGAATCGGGAAATACACCTGGTGGTAGTTATACGACATGGCAATTTAATTTCAAATTTAATTTACAGTAAGTTTGAGATATATTTCAATATAGAATAGCGTAAAGACATAATGATAATATGATAATAATAATATGTTATATATATATAATTTTATAGAGAAGATATGTATGCACAAGATAGTATAGATATGTTGCAAAACAGTGGTATACAATTCAAAAAACACGAAGAAGAAGGCATTGATCCATTAGATTTTGCTGAACTATTAATGACATCGGGAATTGTTCTTGTTGACGACATAAAATGGTTATCCTTTCATTCTGGTTACGACTTTGGCTATCTATTAAAACTTCTTACAGACCAAAATTTACCACAGGAAGAAAGTGAATTTTTCGAACTTCTTAGGATATATTTTCCAACAATATATGATGTAAAAGTATGTTTTCTTAAATAATTATTTTCCATAAACATTAAAATCTAAATGTATAATTTTAATATGTAACATTTGATTCACAGTATTTAATGAAATCTTGCAAAAATTTGAAAGGAGGCCTACAAGAGGTAGCAGAACAATTGGAAATTCAAAGAGTTGGACCACAACATCAAGCTGGATCGGATTCGTTACTTACCGGAATGGTTTTCTTTAAAATGCGAGAGGTAAAAAAATCTTTCAATTAAAAATATGAGTATTAAAAAATATATTATAGATATAATGTTGAAAAAAATTCAATTTTAGATGTTTTTCGAGGATAACATTGATGATGCAAAATATTGTGGTCATTTGTATGGTTTGGGAACATCATTCGTTGTAAATGGTTCAGGAGGATATCTAGACAGTAATGGAGATAATTCTTCGTCTTCGTAATGTTAAAAGCTATCACATCTCAGTCGGAACAGATTATTTCATTACAAATAAAATGTTATAAATAATGTTTCACTTAATGATCAAGCGTATAGTTCATATTCACAATATTACATTCAAATCACTGCTGTAGATTATAAAATATCACTAATTGAAAATGAAATTAGGAAGATTTTTTCATATTTGTGCATTTTTTGTATCCTCGAATTTGAGTCGAATTTCGTAGGTTTCTCTTCTGTGATACGTGCTATTAATCGAAAATATTTACAATACTGAACAACATAAAATATGTAATATAGTTTCTTTACAAGTGTTTATGACAATATTGGTATACAAGATACAATTGCAGTACAAAAGAAAAAAAAAGGAAACAAATCTACTTTTAAGAATTTTGCAAAATCTCTATTGGGATATGGAAGGTTGGTTAAGTATAACAAAAAAAAAAAAAAGTTAAGAAAAAACAAGATTGCATTGTTTAAGTACATCTATCAGTGTTCATATGTACATTTATCACACAATGCATTTATAGATCAGTACATTTTTAAGCCTGATTTCTTATTTAATGTTTTAATAAATATTCATCAAAATTACGCTTTGTGCAATTTTAGATCAACTGAATAAAATATTAATATGTAGTATTTGAAAACAAAATTCTATAATTCTTATAATGAATCTGATTTTATAGAAAACACAATTAGCAAAAAAAATTTTTTTATTATTATTATTATTATTTATTTTTCAGGTAGGATCTCTTATATTATACTACATATTTTTTATTGTGAGAAACACAATTATGAGACTAAAGATAGAATGATCTTCTGCCACACTTTAAAAATGGACATCGCAAAACACATTTCTTTTGTAAATAACACGTCGTTCCAGAAATACAATAAACAACTTAAAAAAATTATGATTTTAATTGATTATATATACATATATATATATATATATATATATATATATGAGAAAAA